GCCAGGGATTCCCTGACCGCCCGGCGCGCCCCAGTCCGGTGGGGCTGGGTCTCCACCTCGGGGCCCAGCAGCTCCTGCCGCCGGCTACATAGCAGTCTCCGAGCCACCTACTGTGTGTCCCGCCAGGACTGCCCCCTGGGAGCGGCCGCTAACCGTGCGGCGAATGGCTGAGCACCCGGCCCTAGCGCAGTGCGTGCCGGTGCCACCCGGACCCCACTCCCCTGTTTCTGCCGCGTGCCCGGTCCTGTTGGTCTCTCCAGTCTCGTTCAGTCTCCCAAGGAGGCCCTGGGAACCAGAAATGCCTCCCCCTCCCCCGCATTATCACCGTCACCCCTTCCCCTGTGCCCCTCGCCACACACACACACACTAGCCTGAAGCTTGAGGAGCACCCCGAACCACCTGTGTGGAAGAGAGAGTCCGGAGGTCCCTGGCAGGACCCACTGTCCCCCTACCCCAGCAGGCAGCAGGGGCAAAAATAACTGTTCTCAGTAGCTTTTCCTGGGGGAAGGGACTTCCATCCAGGCCACACAGCCCTTTCCCCCTCAAAGCCCCATTTGTTTTTCATTTCACAGATATTTACACACCTACTGCATTCTAGGCAGGGGCTGGTCAGCTGGGCCTGGGGCATGGGAGAAGGTAGGCACTTGTCTAAGCCTTTCCTAGTCCCTCACCTTGTGGCTTCCCCCTGAGATTTTGGGAAACCCTGAGCCCCCACGCTGCTTCTGTGGGAGCAGCCTGGGTGGGCAGAGATGACCTGGGACAGGTGCCCTGTGAGGAGCAGGTGATGCCCTACCAGGCTGCTGCCTTCGCCCACAACTTCCCTTCCCCACTGACCCTGCATTCCCCTGGGGGTAGGGCTGGAGGGTTTCGTGTGGTCCCAGGAAGCCATTAGGCCAAAATTAGCAGCAGCCCTAGTCCAGCCTCACAGCCAGGCCCTGCCTCCCTCCCTCCTCTGTGTCCCACCTTTCCCTGTGCCCCATCTTTCCAACTACCAGCCATAAATGCAAACACTGAGCAATGGAGAGATGGGAAAACAGAGGGTGTGTTCCAAGATTTTATCTCTCCTCAGAGAAGTAGACTTCCAGAGCACACCTGCCATCTTCCTCCAGGAGTCTGTTCACTGGGCTCTTGCCCACACAGACCTTGTGGCAAGGACCATGTCTTAAGAGCTCAGAAATCACAGTTCAAGGCACAAAGCTGGGCAGAGCTGTTCTGCAGTTAAAAGTTCATTGAATGAAAGAATGAATGATGGGGAAAGTGGCTGAGTCTTCAGACTTCAGCCTATTTGCAACTTCCCCAGGAAGACCTGCCTTCACCTCCTCCCAACAGATTATCACCAGCAACACCACCAGTAAGTGAGCACTTGTATCTGCTACAGGCTTGGCAGGCACTGTCTCCTCTAAAATCCATGGGGAGGTGGGCCCATCAGGCGGAGACAAGTCAGGTGGACACAAGTGGCCACAGCCCAGGCCAGCCCTTGCCTCCCCTATGCTCTGTGTTAAGGCCTGAGTCACAATTTGTTGAGTGGGTCTCTTTCCCTCTCTGCACTGCTTCAAGTGGGCAAGGGTGATGTCTGTTTGCTTGTGGTCTTACCCTCATCCCTGTACATAGTAGGCCCTCAGGCTGTTTAGTTGTGTATGTTGATGAACAAATGATTGAATGGAGAGATGGGGACAGGGGACAGGCACTTCCTGTAAAAAACGGGCTTTCTCCCACCATGGACTCTGAACTTCAGTGAGATGAGCAGAGCAGGGAGTAGGCCCCAGGCAGGGGTGAGGGTGATCCACCCATCCAACAGTGTTTGCATGGTCCTGGGGTCACAGCCAGAGTAACTCTGGGTACCTGCCCCTCCCTGGAACGGGGGTAGGGGCAGAGCCCCTGGCTGAGACCAGCATTCAGCTCCCGCTGTGGAACCCCCAGAAGATTCTGAGGCCCTGGGCTGACCCTCAATGGTCTTCAGCCATCCTTCTTCCTCTGCCCCAGAGAAAGAAGATGGGCGTCCTGGGATCTGAAGGGTCTGAGGTCAAGTTTCAGTCCTGTCCCAGCCTCTGCCAGGGAGTCTGTACTGGACCAGGATTCCTTTACATTTGGATTTGGGGACCCTCCTGAGAAGTGGACCTTCACCTAGTTCGTTGAAATTCTCATCTCCCCAAAAGTCCCTTTCTCTGGGGGAGAGATGCAGATGGAGGCACCCCATGAGCAAGCACCTGGCTCTGCCCCGGCACGCCCTATGACTGACAGATGCAAATATCCCGCCGGGCCCCCGCAGGCCGCTCCCTCCCTCGCTGGCTCACCCGCCTCCCGGCCAGCTCCCTCCCTCCTTTATCTTATCAAAGCCGGGTAATTACAATTGCTATTTTGTTTCCCCGAATCTGCAATCAGAGCTCCCTGGCCCAGATGAGGGAGCGCCTGTCAACCTGATCGCTGAGTGACAGCCCGGCCACCTTTCCCGGCCGCCCCCACACTCCGCAAACACAAACACACACACGCACAGACACAAACTCCCTCACCTGCAAACACAAACACACACTCTTCGGCAACACACGGCCCGTCTCCGCAGACACGCCCTCGCCGGCACCCAGACACACTCCTTCAGCCTATTTCCAAACGCACCCCTCGATCCCAGCCCAGCCCCTGGCCCCTCCAATCCACACCCGCCGGAGACCGCAGCTTGCTCCGACGCGCGCTTCCTGCGCCGGGCGTTCAAAGCGCCGCGGACTCACCGCCGACCGTTCAAATGCAAATCGCCGAGACTACGTTAAGCACTTCGGCCGCTGTCTGGGAGTCGTCTCCCTCGGCCCCCAAATAGGAGCCTGCCCTTCCTCCAGCAGTCGGCAAACCCCGGCATATGCCTTCATCCCCCAGGGCTGTGAGGTCACAGTGAGCCGGCAGCGCTCCTACTGTGCGCTGAAGGGCAGAGAAGAGGGCTCGAGGAGAGGCGGGGGCGTGGAGAGAGGAATAAACCATGCCCAGCTGTGTCCGCAGGGCGTCCCAACCGGCCAAGATACTCCTGGGCCGAGAGGCTGATGTGGATTGGGCCCCCACTGCGGGCAGGAGCGTGCTCGGCGCTGGCCCGCTCCCACCGGGAGACCGACCCGGAAAACCGGGAAAGAATGCACGGAGCGATCAGTGTCATCGCGGGGGGTGGGTGGGGTAAATATTGGGGCGGCGCCGCGCAGGGTGTAGATGGGTCAGCTAGGGAGGCCTCCCCGGAGAGGACTCTGCGAGGCACTCAGCCAGTCTCCCGCTCCTCCTGCCACGCACGTGCCGAGGCCTTTGGAGGCTGGGGCCAAAAGGAGGAAGGAAGGGAAAGAGGAGTGAGGGCCGCAGCCCGACTTCCCCGCTCCAACTCGAGTCGTTTGAATGAATGAATGAACGTATGCACGCATGCAAGCAAGCCTCAATGGCATTCCCCCGGCTTCTGCCCAAGATTCGGCCGCCCAGAGCACTGGCGGGACTCGGAGGCCCCGGCCCCAGGGCACCCGCCCGGAGCCTCTAGAGGCCAGGGGAGCGGTACGACCACGAGCGGCTTCTACCTCGCCCGCCAGAGGGCGCCAGCCCGGCCTTCCCTCTGCCTGCCGACCGCGCTTCGCAGCGAGACCCATAGTTTCCAGCCAGGCCGCCTCTCCGCTGGGTTCCCCAGGGAAGCATTTT